ATATATATATATATATAAAAGTCATATATATATATAAAAGTCGTAAACACAGTTGCAAGTTCTCAAATCGTAAGAACCAAAACACTTGACCAATTCTAGTCAAATATTTTTCCTATATATATAGATTGAGTTTGGTTTTCTATGACTTAAGACTCCATATGTATCATCTACATATTCTATGTAAACGAGCTTAAAGTCTATCCAAAAGATAGATTCTATATAGTTTGCTTCTGTTACTAATAATTAGTTGATATAGCAGACTAACAACAAACAAAATTTGTTGTCACATATTTACCGATTACCACTTAAAAATACTGGTGGCTTGTTAAATTAACAAAATCCTTTCTCTCAGTGTTTGATCTTGGCGATTAAATTAAGTCGAGTGTACATTTACTTTGTTTGAAGAAAGGTACAAGTAGCTTTATTATTTAAAAATAATTTTTAATAAGATTATTAAAATAGCTTTCAGTCGTTAGTATCTATTCACGGATTTATTTGTACATTCGTTCTTGTTTTCTGCCTCCCATTTTCCTCCAATGCAAGTAACAAAGATCAGACGAAGTTAAAATCCTGTCGATCGCGCTTTTTACCTTCAATCCGCCGCATTCCATCTGCAGTAATATTGTTACTCACCTCGCGCATCTCGCTTTTCATCTTCCTTCGCATTTCCATTACATTTCGCCGCGATGTCCCGATACGCTGGAACGCAAAGTAGGGAAAACAAATGGCCCTCTGGAGATTAAAAACCACGCATCGTACATTTTGTCTCGCGAATGTTATTTCGTGTTCACTCGTCGCTACACGTGAAACTGTCTCGAATCACCAGTTTGCAATACAATCCTTTTTAGGTGTTGTGTACACATTCATAAACCACTGCATCGAGTCAGGTAAACCGCAAAGGGTTAACCTAATGCTATGAAATGAGATAGTTGATGCGGCGTCGAATGAATCAGTCCTTATGGTGGAATCAGTAAACGCGAATAATAACACTCGGTGGTTTCACGGTATTTCCGTATCTCAATGACTATTTTGAAATCCCAAGTGTGCGTTAATACGATATGAATATCGTCAAAGATTATAAGGTATTTACATTTAATTCTAATCGATATTTGCTCCGAAAATTCTTTAACTAGTATATATTCGTACGGAAAAAATGATTTTGCTAAAGTAT